TCTACTTGCTCTTGTCGCTGTTCTCACGGATGTGGTATAATTATCTAGACTGACGGAAATGTTACTCGCCCACATACAAGCCAAATGTGCATCGCTGCAGACCTCGATAATTTATATTATTATTAATATTATTATTATGTAAAAATATATTTTATGATATTACATTATAACATTGGTTCTTGGAACTTTTGTATTGATGTATAACCCCACACCTTGTGTACCCCTATCAATGATCTTTTATAGTCGTATGACCATATGATTTCGTGTTTCCCTAATGTTAATGATTACCACGAAATGTTTTCTCTACAATTACAAAGTTCGTCGCACCCTACCCTAGCTTGGTTCGGCTGGTACCTAGTCGATCGTGAACTACACAATGCGGGACGCTAGTCCATAGCACMTCTCTAGTTCCCCGATCAATTTAGCTATTTTGTTTTTAGCTATTGCTTGCCGTCTAGCTGAAAAAGTTTTTATAGTTTTTGCGTGGCCCATCATTACCTAACAGTTTAATCCCATCCATAGCATTWTGTGAGGTGTTGCTTTTGTTTTGAAAGTGCTCTAATACTTAGTCAATATTGAAACATTGTGAATCATTTCCAATATTTTTTTGCGTTATGAATTAATTTGAGTTATGTAGATAACTCATAGTTGGGAATTTACAACTGATTATCGTAGCGGTAAGCGAAAAATATAGTGTCTACAGCGAAAAATAAAAATATCGCGCTCAATCATGTGGTAACATTTTTGCCGCGGTATTAATTTCGCAATAGTGAGTGCGTTCGTATTAAAACGTATGGACATTAAATTTCGGTGCCACTACCGCCACCGCTACCGCTTCGGTTTGAGCGGACCTTAAACCAACTATTTCTACCGTTGATAAAAATTACGTTTTAGAATTTGGGGAAGATGTGTTATCATGTGATGAATCCGTACTTTTTTGTAAATTGTGTGAAACAAAAGTAAGTGCTGAACGGAGGTAACTACACACCATATTGAAACTGCAAATCATAAACGGACAGTTAATCGAACAAATACCACCAAAACGTCTACATTGCAACTTCAGGTAACGTCATTTTCCAAAAAACATAATTTAATAAAGATTTGTATAAGGCAATGTTATCCGCCAAAATTCCATTATATAAAACCAATAACCCAGATTTTCGTTTATTTTTGGAAACATATGAAGAGAGACATTCCGAATGAATCTACATTACGAAAAAATTACGTGAACGAAGTGTACTCAGATACTTTAAATAAAATAAGAAACAATATAAAGGGAAATAAAATTTGTATCTTAATAGATGAGACCACAGATGTTAATGAAAGATATGTGGCTAACGTTGTGATCGGAACACTCCAAACTGACCATCCAGAAAAAGTGTATTTATTAAAATATACAGAAGTTCTCGATAAAGCAAATTATTCAACAATAACCAAAYTATTTGATAAATCAATGTTCCTTCTTTGGCYGGWCGGTATTTGTCATGATGACTTTWTCCTGTTTCTTAGTGACGTAGCTCACATATGATAAAAGCAGGGACTACAGTTAAAGCACTCTATTCAAAAATGGTGCAAAAACATGCATTGAGTTGCAGAAGATATACGCGGAAAATTTCCTGAAATAGACAAACTCATCGCTAAAATTAAACAAATATTTT